AGTCCCCCTCATTAATCCCTACTCCCAGCATGTTGTCCTACGAAAACGGTGGGTATAGGGTTTTATTGGAATATACTTTAATAACTACTAAATGCATTTTACTTTTACTGCATTTAGAATTGTCGTTGATTTATATCCGTGGATTTTCCTGATATGTATTATCGTTTAACGTGTTGCGGGAAAACCCGATTATTAAATTATAGGTTTCTTGAAATTCCTGAAAAATTGAAATGATGGTTAGGAGGTCGTCTACTTCTACTTACCTGAGGTCCAACTTACCGTTCTGGAGTTAGATTAGTATGGTCCACGGCGCTAAGCGCCGCGCACACCTTCAATTTCCATGCTGAACAACTAACTCCCAGCGGCCGCAGGAAACAACTTCGACTGTATTTTTTCACGTTACACTTTCTTCTAAAAATTTGCTTTTCTGCCTATCCTATTTCCCCATCCTCCAAAAACCTTATAACCACCGTGTTCGGAGGAGAAAATGTCGGGACTAGGGGTATATAAGGAAGACTAAACAAGCTACGTTTGCCGGATAACCAAAGTACAAACCTCAACAATGGATACACTAAGTCAAGAGCGAAGGTGGTCGGCCAAATCGCCTGACTATACAAGGAAACGACACAATTTCAACATTAACGCCGCTCAGGGCAAATCTAGTCCTGGGAAAGCTTGTGTATGTTAGTGGGAGAGGGGGCGTGGCTTTGTTTTTATAGGATTTCAGGAGGCCATTCTTATAGCCTCAGGATTGGGCCGAAAACACCAGCGCGAAAGGAGGGAGTGGACGTGAACAGAGGCAATACTGAAAGAAAGAAGATCTTCGGAAAATCGAGTTGTACTCGCGAATTTTCGAATAAACATCACGTGCTCGTCGTCAGACTAAATAAAAAGTGAGGGCTGGGAATGTCGCACTAGAGGTTTTGGGGCAGAGGTTACAACGGACGGGGGGATTGGGTGGGAGGGTTATGGTGATGTGCTTCCCGCGGCGATAGGTTGTGCTGGTGAGGGGGGGTGTTAGCGTT